AATTAGTTGTCAGCCGCAGCGCCATAGACAGGGGGGCGAAAGCGACGGTCTGAGGGAGGGAACGGGTGGTCGGTAACGGGAGCGGAAGGTTGAGGGGAAGGGCGAGGAGGAGGGGAAGGTTCGAATCGTGAGAGGGCGAGGTGGTCGAGACGATGAAGGAGAGCGGCTCAAAAGCCCCGGGCTTCTCGCGTGATTTATGCGAGATTCCAGCGATGCTGCGCGTAAAAAAGAAAACAGCCCCTCGCTGTGTGCCAACCCCCGAACCTCGCGATGCCCCCTCGTTCCCTTCCTCCCCCGTCACTCCCTCCCCACGCCGCGAGTCGTCTGGAAATGGAAATGGCCGGGGCGCATCGTTCCGCTGCTGGAAATCTCCCCGCTTTCAGAAGCATTTTCCGAGGGACAGGAAAAAGAACGGCCACGAAGAACTGACCTCGGCCGGGCTCGCGCTTCCCGAAGTGATTTGCCGAGACACGGTAATTAATGCTAATAGAAAAATTGCTGAAACGGTTGAATGTAGATTGGAAAGCGAGGCGGTACTGAAATTTTTTTGCGATATACACGGAGAACACTTTTTTTTTTTTGCCGTGAAAGTATAGGCACTCGGGAATGAGATGAGACAACCGCGCGTAGAATCTTCTCTTTTACTTCTAGTATTTCTCTTTTGAAGATGCACACACACGTCTTTGCTTTTCTCTCATATAAATGTGATTCTTATATATTTAACCTTTTATTTGCTATATCACGAGTACACTTTTTTTATTTTATGGTGTATATATTTTAAAATATTTAAAAATATTTTATTATAATGGAGACGTTACAGTTTCTATTATATTCTCCTATTTGAATCTTAGTATTTTATATCGATTATATACGTATCAATTATGGACCAATTGTATTAGAAATTGATTTAATCAAACCATATGCACGCAATCGAAATTCGATGCAGGTACGACAGCGTCGAATGAAATATCCTATTTGCCGCGTTACATGGCCTTCGACGCGTAAGATTTGCTTATGGAATTCATGACGTTCCATAACGATCGATGGAACGACGATTATTGCTCGCGATTAATTTCTATCATATCGATTCCGCGTGCAAAATACGCTCGCACAGTACCTATTATGAGAAGGCTGCTGATCGTTATAAAATCGTATCTACATTCTTGAGGGCGTGTGTGGTGAAGCATGAACGCGGCTTAAGATTATTAACCAGTCGCGAGCGATTTCCGATCGCGGTGATCATAGTGTTGTCCCGCGCGGCCGATCGATCAATTAATTAATTACGGGACGATGGCAGGTTTGCGTAGTCAATATTGAATTCAACGGTTAATATGCGTTTCCGGGCAACGCGATGCAGGCGCTTTCGAGATCCAGTGTCGTTAGAGCCATCCGGTGCTGGACATCTCGACGCTGGACGTCGATTTTGCCCGCATTTTAATTATATATTTAAAACCATGAGATCGACGTATTTTTTTTCCACGATACGATTTTCATTCGTCGCCCGGTCGTCGATAACGCGAACGCTATAATTCGTTGGATTGCGTCGGCCTCGCGCGCGACCAGCATCCTATCGTGTTTTAATTTTAATCAATTTATCTCTCCCCGGCAATTACCGACCGGCGAGATGATATCTCGCGCCAGTGGGCTCACCAGATTAGCGGGATATTGTATTATATTGATCGCGAGACACGCCGATAAGTGCAATGCGAGGGTATAAATTCGTGGCGACGCGTTAACGTGCATGCAACTAATACGTAATAAGGAATATACGGGAGATAATAACATTACACACTAGCACAACAGGCAAGATTATTTACACACGCGCATTACATATCGTGCGCTCGCAGCGGTAATGTCCGGATCGCAGGAGGGGTGTGTTGCACCATCGGGCGATAACTTTTATACCGTACTTTCGCAACAAGATCGCGTATGAATCGCAGCGTGTCACAGGGCGCGATTTACGGCTAGATTCGACGTTGCGATTCGTACAATTATGCGATTTAATTGCGGCCCCGCATCGGTGAGATATTTTTACGCGACAACCGCACGTGTTTCGAGCCATACGCCACACGTCTCCCTCTCCAATTAAATCCGCCACCATCACCACCACGTGCGCAAGCGACAATACATGCAAGGCACCAGAGGTTAGAGAGACAGAGACATGATTTTTCAATTTTCCGTCCCCGAAATAGAAGTGGGAAAGTGCACTACTCCGCATTGTTTCGTGATGGACGAGCTCGTCGTTCGCGGGAGAGCGTTCCGCGCGAGTAATTCGAAATACTCGTATAGGTATCGAAACATTGAAAGAAACGAAGAGTCAAAGTTTTATGTCAATTCCAATAAGCAGAATGTATTTGTTGACTCTGAGCCAAATATCGTATCGTTTCATCAGTATAAAGAGAAGTAATTAAAATGCTAAATATTCCAACGTAATTAAAAAATAAATATATATATCATTTTCCTTCTTTTTTTTTTTTTTTTTATTGCAAGATATCACGAGATTCGTTGAGTAAACTGTTTTTTAAGAATATCCGTTATATGACAAAGATTCAATGTGAAATATGGTAAATGCATAAGGGAACAGCATGTAAAACTCCGATAGTCAAAGTGGATCTCGGGTTCTTCCGCTTTTTTTATATCGCGGGGATAAAAAAAGATCCGTGAAACGGCGAGCTTGTCGTTCGAAAGAGCCGCGACGAGTCGTGAACGCGCGCAACATAGGATACTTATATTTAATCGGGAAGAAAATCTCTCTCTTACGAGACGATCAACGAGTCGTGGTGCGACTTTACGAGCGTGTAGGCGAATCGGCGTGGGTTTCCCGGATACCGGGTTACACGCGTCACGACCGGACTGGCTCTTCCGCTCTCTCTCTCTCGAAACGGTGCAACGAACTCTCCATGAAGAATCTACCACGAGTATCGTCGTCGAGCTCGTGCGAGCGCACGTGAAAAATTGCGAAATATATCCCGTTGATTCGTAACACGTAGAAAAGAGTTTGTGACTCTACGGTATATAAAACATCGTATTTTGTGTGTAATCGTATTATGAATAAAAATCCGAATATTCGAAATAGATCAATCTCAATTTTGATAGATTATGTGTCACAGATATATTAATAAAACCAGATGTCAATGATCTTTAATTAATAATTTTTATCGCAGGTTTACACTCTAATAAGCTTTTGATGCACTGTCAGAACATTAACATTTTATGACTGAATGTATAATATTTTTTAGCAGCTTTTAATTTTTTTGTTCCTTAATTACGTCTACGAATCAATGTATCGCTCATTTTCATCGCCCATCCGCATTGATGGCTCCATGTACACATGTATATCGCGATGGTATGTGGTTATCACATGAGATGCGTATGAATGAAGAAAGTCTTTTGCATTTGTATGATTCGGAGTTAATTTATAGTTGATATTGATTGAATGATCGGATGATGTCGTTAATTGATCATACATAATGTGCTCTGCCCTCTCCGGTCCGGATGAGATACATTTGTGACAACGTAAGTATGTTACTTTTACTCTACTGGAGCGAGTAACTTGCGGCGGTGCTCGCTCGTTCGCATGAACGAGAAGGCGTGTCCCGTTCGCCATTATCGATCCCACCAATTTAAATCAAACAAGGTACAAAACGATAAACGGAAAAAACGTATAAGCGCGTAAAGCCAACAAATCATTGAAAATATACGGCCAATTTAAAGTCTCTCAACAATAACGTTGCAGTAACATTTCAAAAACGTGTGCCCTCCGTTGCGCTCTGCCTCACTGGTTCAAGTTCTGGTATAAGCTTACTAGCAGAACCATATGTAACATTCATTGTTAAATAACTTTGTGCGAATATTGGAAAAATTCCTGAGGACATTCCAGCGCCATTGATACCACCTAGCTCAGCTCAACGAAAATCTCAATATTTCGTAAATATTTGGTTAATATATAAATGTATTTCTGATTGGATATATTTCGTTAAAACGTTATAAAATCTATATTCATTATTATCACCAAAATAAAAGATAAGCGACGATAGTTCTAGCGCGATTAAACACAATATATAAAATTCCAAAAATATAACTTCACATTTTAATACACAAATCGGTCAAAATTTTTTTATTTCAATCCAAATCGATTCGAGTAATATATTTTGTAATAAAGTTAATTACAGAAAAATTCTTAGGAACTTTATTACAAAATATATTACTCGAAACGTATTAGGAAAACTTTGAAACTTTTTATGAAAAAAAGATAATTGCAATTCTATTATTTATATTTTGAAAATGAGATTTTAATTGATAGAAATCAAAGAGAAAAGTTAGCTCGCAGAATTCATGGAAAATAGCTATTTATTCGAACATACGACAAGCTGAGTCGCGTCCGTGTGCTCTCTCTCTTTTTCCCATATTGCCTCTTCACGCCCCAGTTCACGATTATGCAACGTTAAATCGGGGAATTAAAAAAGAAGTCTCGGAAGTGCAAATTTCTTTCCACGGGAGTGAGCGCGCGCCGAGTGAACTGCGATAATTTCCAGTGCATTTCCATCCGAAGAAATTTAAGATACCTCGGCGGAGTATGTCTCTCGATTAAGCATCGATTGAAACGTCGATTTTTCCATTACTCTTGCCGACGATTATTATATTTATATTCCATTACTCACGCTGTCTTCATTATTTCGTATCTTACCGTATCAGTATTAATCATGCGAAATTATATCGTGTTATTGCAATAATTCTCGACAAGCGTAGAGGGTGTTAATGGCGTTGGAAGGCGTGCTTGCGATTTTATATGCATCAATTGCCCGGAAGAAGCGAAGCGAAAGGAGACTTTTCGCTCGATATAACGTTGAGCGATTCTCTTCGTACATCGCTTAAAATTGTGTCGCGATGGTATACTAGCAGCTTGCTTGATACCAGAAGCGTGGCGCACTCGAGGAGTGCCCCCGTCTTTTTTAACTCACGGATATAGAGAGCAGAGGCGATATCGTCCGATATCGTACCGTGTCGCCTACCTTCTTCTCCCATTGGAGAACGTAGGGCACTGGGTGCTCACCGGGGAACTCTACGTGACAGTTGAAGACAACGCTCTCCCCAAGGATAGCCGTGATGTGCACCGCGTCTTGTTGACAGAGTCCTGGAACAAAGATCGTCATGTCATTAATAATATAATAATGAATATTCCGAAATTAATTATCAGGAATTTTAAAAGAGGAAAAAGAGTTTATTTTCTATTTCTATAGGTTTTTTTCATTATAATATTATTACTAATAATAATGTCAGTGCGATAAGCAAGCAAACATCAGCTGTCAAATCGCGCTATAAAAATGACAGCTGATAAAAACAGGATAAAACACTCGTTTCAAATGGCATTCAAAATTTTCCGCATTTTCACATCTCGCGTCTGCGAAAAAACGAGCGGAAACTCATGATTTTTGCCACAAGAGTTTTGTCGTGGAAAGAAAACTGCAAGAGACCTAATGCCGCTCGTACTTCAACGGGAAGGCATTAAAAGCCATTAAAGGTAAATCAGTGGCAATGGTTGTCGTATGCTCTCTTTTCCGCGAACCTGGGAAATCCGATGCCGCACGCGAGTAACGTCGTCGAGGCCGCGTAAGATTAACTTCGCATTAACCTCTATGCGATGTCGTAAGATCGAGTGCGACCTCGATTTTGTATGCTCGAGATAACGCGCTTGGCCAGAAAAATCCCTTCGCGTGTCGCGCGTGATAACGACGATGTTCCGCTCGCGGAACCCTTTCTAGGACGATATCGACGGATAGTTAGCATACCTCGATACGTTCGTTTTTGCCCGTCTTATACCCTGTTTACGAATGGGGAGATATCGCTATAAATTATATATCGGGGAATGTCGGGACCAATGGGGAAAAAAGTAGCCGGTACACCGTGACGCGGTGAAACGACGATGGTAAACACGTCGGGGAGGATAATGCAGGCGAGCCTGAGGGAAGAAACTCCTTTGGGATAATTAATGTTCTTAGTGCAAACGAGGAACACAATAAATTAAAGGGCATTACTGTCGCAGATAAATTGATACTCGAAATTCAAAGAACTTTTGATTCTTAATCTGAAAATTGTTTATATATCCTATGATTAAACATTCTAATCACAAATGATATTTGGATAAATATCTCAAGACCTTGTTTATTTCGAGAATAAATTTACTTTATGTAATAAATTTTTCAATGATGTATGTTATAAGTTTTTTACACTTTTGCTTAATAGCTTATATTGGCTCTGGCATAATTAGCTTTTAAAAAAAAAAACCAGCACAAGAATTAAAATCTTCATCTTATAAGAGATTTATATTATTTTCAAATAATCGCTCGAGAAAGAAAAATACCGCGGAATAAGAAACGTGGATAGAGTTTGTCAGATGTCTAAAACACACAGAGGGAAGTCTATTGTGGCGAGAACTAAAAAGTCGAAATACTTAAACTAATTCGTAGAAATATATGTGCCAGCGCAGTCTCTGCTATATTCGCGCAAAGTAATCGCAAAGTTCTATGTCGCAAGAAGCTCTATCGGTCGGGGAAACACAAATCGGGAATGACAGCCGATCTACTTTGCGTCCGGAGAAAAGTTCGCGTAGGAAATATCGATTTGACTGCTGACAAGCAAACTTGGGACGAATCTGTCGCGGACCTTCCATTTTCGTTTTATCCTGGCCTTTCGTTGCTGCGTCACGATCGTCGCGATTAACGTTTCACTGCGGTAAACAGCTGCCGCATTTTCATGGACTTTTTACTACTTCGCAAACTACTGTTCTCTTCGAGTTCTTAATGCAGTAGTGCCATTACGATCTAAATTTTGTCACGAAACGCCTGTTACATTTGATTGATGTGTATCCTACAATTATTCAAGATTTAAAATCCAAAATGTTAATAATAGTTATATAATAATGAATTATTATATTAATTAGCATACGCGAGCTTTTTTTCAATTTTTACGAGCACGCAACTAAATGATTCGCTCAAAGTGCAACTTCCTATTGCATACCGTTTTGCAACTGCAACTATGCGTGGGGGTTTCACCTTCGCGTAGATTGTGCATCTATAGAAGCAACGTCGCTTAATGCCCAGCTAACTTTAGCAATAGTCAAGCTTGCGTCAAAGCGGCTCTGCTACAACGTCGGTTGCTCGGAAAAGCTGACGATTGAAACCACAGAAAATCGCTAACATCAAGGGAGAGAGAATCGCGCGAAAGGCGGCAGCGGTCCCGAAGCACAATAGCATCCATTTCAAATAATGGACGCGACTTTGATAGCTGTCCCCTTTGAGATCTCCCCCATGTTGCAAATACGACACATTTTTGGCGCTCGTATGCGCGTACGACAAAGGGGACCGTAATAAATCTCTCCTCGGGCGTACGCAAACCTCCGAAACGCGTTTCACAATGACAAACCTACGGCGCCAGATGAGTTCTAAATCGGAGATATTTTCATCGTTCAGAAAAAGTACGAGGGGATTTCAGGATGAAATTGGGTTACGTTGAATACGCCATTATACCCTGTTTACGAATGGGGAGATATCGCTATAAATTATATATCGGGGAATGTCGGGACCGATGGGGAAAAAAAGTAGCCGGTACACCGTGACGCGGTGAAACGACGATGGTAAACACGTCGGGGAGGATAATGCAGGCGAGCCTGAGGGAAGAAACTCCTTTGGGATAATTAATGTTCTTAGTGCAAACGAGGAACACAATAAATTAAAGGGCATTACTGTCGCAGATAAATTGATACTCGAAATTCAAAGAACTTTTGATTCTTAATCTGAAAATTGTTTATATATCCTATGATTAAACATTCTAATCACAAATGATATTTGGATAAATATCTCAAGACCTTGTTTATTTCGAGAATAAATTTACTTTATGTAATAAATTTTTCAATGATGTATGTTATAAGTTTTTTACACTTTTGCTTAATAGCTTATATTGGCTCTGGCATAATTAGCTTTTAAAAAAAAAACCAGCACAAGAATTAAAATCTTCATCTTATAAGAGATTTATATTATTTTCAAATAATCGCTCGAGAAAGAAAAATACCGCGGAATAAGAAACGTGGATAGAGTTTGTCAGATGTCTAAAACACACAGAGGGAAGTCTATTGTGGCGAGAACTAAAAAGTCGAAATACTTAAACTAATTCGTAGAAATATATGTGCCAGCGCAGTCTCTGCTATATTCGCGCAAAGTAATCGCAAAGTTCTATGTCGCAAGAAGCTCTATCGGTCGGGGAAACACAAATCGGGAATGACAGCCGATCTACTTTGCGTCCGGAGAAAAGTTCGCGTAGGAAATATCGATTTGACTGCTGACAAGCAAACTTGGGACGAATCTGTCGCGGACCTTCCATTTTCGTTTTATCCTGGCCTTTCGTTGCTGCGTCACGATCGTCGCGATTAACGTTTCACTGCGGTAAACAGCTGCCGCATTTTCATGGACTTTTTACTACTTCGCAAACTACTGTTCTCTTCGAGTTCTTAATGCAGTAGTGCCATTACGATCTAAATTTTGTCACGAAACGCCTGTTACATTTGATTGATGTGTATCCTACAATTATTCAAGATTTAAAATCCAAAATGTTAATAATAGTTATATAATAATGAATTATTATATTAATTAGCATACGCGAGCTTTTTTTCAATTTTTACGAGCACGCAACTAAATGATTCGCTCAAAGTGCAACTTCCTATTGCATACCGTTTTGCAACTGCAACTATGCGTGGGGGTTTCACCTTCGCGTAGATTGTGCATCTATAGAAGCAACGTCGCTTAATGCCCAGCTAACTTTAGCAATAGTCAAGCTTGCGTCAAAGCGGCTCTGCTACAACGTCGGTTGCTCGGAAAAGCTGACGATTGAAACCACAGAAAATCGCTAACATCAAGGGAGAGAGAATCGCGCGAAAGGCGGCAGCGGTCCCGAAGCACAATAGCATCCATTTCAAATAATGGACGCGACTTTGATAGCTGTCCCCTTTGAGATCTCCCCCATGTTGCAAATACGACACATTTTTGGCGCTCGTATGCGCGTACGACAAAGGGGACCGTAATAAATCTCTCCTCGGGCGTACGCAAACCTCCGAAACGCGTTTCACAATGACAAACCTACGGCGCCAGATGAGTTCTAAATCGGAGATATTTTCATCGTTCAGAAAAAGTACGAGGGGATTTCAGGATGAAATTGGGTTACGTTGAATACGCCATCTCGGTTATGACATGTGTCGATATTTATCGCGGTATGTTTATTATATATTAAAACCGTTATACTGTAATAATATATGTCATGCATTTTATATAGTTACATATAATAATAAAAATCTAGGATGCGACATAATATTTAATGAAAAATTTTAATAAATTTTTTAAATAAACTTAGCAAATCAATGAAAATTTTAATTTAATTTAATCATATTTAACATGAAATACACGATTTTCTAATTTTCTTATTTTCAAATATAAATCAGAATTGGAACATTTATATTCCTGAATAATTCTGCCGCGTTGTCACATTAATATTCTTAAATTAACAAGTATATCTCTGTCGTGAGCGATATGTCTCGCGATGCACATCCATATTTATATAGACAGATATGGACATGATACTTCGAAGCCATATCCATTGTGTAATATCATGGATGCTGGCTTCTTCCGGTGAACCATTGAAAGTTCGACACTTTGCCACAGGCATTTTTCTCGATAAAAAATGTGCGCCTCGCGACCTGGGAACATTCGACGCTATGAAAGAGAAAAGTCGCACTAACTCCTACATCATGCTCGACGTTTCCGATCGTTTAAATGTAATAAATCGAAATAACGAGGCCGATACTCTGAGAACTTTTGGAGGATCGAAAATTGCTTCGGAACGTTCAAGTGTCGCGATACATAATATCTCGAGATTTTTTTCAACTAATATTTTGATTCGAGATTCTCTCTGATTCCGTAATCTTCTTGCAATTATTAAAAGTTCTTTTCGCGTTTCTAATTTAATCTGCAATTAAATTTTTATCTCGCGTTGCGCTCTCGTCGCAATATCCGAATATGATCGACGTTTGCATCGCGCATCGGGCGATGTATTATTAACGTAACGGGGAGAGAACCGTGACGATATTATTGATATTGTACGACGAAACCGGCCTAAAGCCCTCCGATCGTGCAACAACCCGTTTTAGTCCGCCCTCCTGGTGTATGCGATGCGAATAATAATTTCAACTTGGACGCGCAACTGACGCAGCATTTGTGCGGCCATTATCGCCATTGCCGGGATTCTCTTGGGATAACGCCGCATCCAAATAACCGTTTTTATTGTTACTTGTTATTAAATTTTCAACGGTCTGTCTGCAGCGTGTGCGGGCGCGTGTACGCGACGGGAACACCTCGTTATCTCCGGCAAGCGAGCTCGTAAAATAAAGCCTCCCCGCGTTTTGTCTGTATATAGTACCGCGGTAATTATAATCATCATTATATGCGCTAATTTGTCCGTTGAATGAACCAACTGCCTGGAAAGAGACTTATGTACCGTGAAATCCAACATTTAACATAATCTTCATCTATAAATACGGATATTAAATATTAGAATATATTAAAACGTAGCAGAGAAATGCAGTTATTTGTTCAATATTTATACAACATGTTGCCGTGCGAGATCAGCGAAATGACACACGCGAATGTCTGTGGTCGTGTTTCGTGATGATGTAAAATTGTCAGTCTCATCTAATTGCGATGATCGAGCTTTCTTACGTTTCTCGTGGCAGCATTGGTATATATCGCATACGATTTACAGGATCCATCGATCTGATGCGCGTGATAAATCTTGCTGCGCCCTAATAATAATTGATACGTGACGAACGCGCTACGAATTATTTGTTTTTCAGCTTTATAGTCGAATGAAACCCGGTTGAGTCGTATTACCCGATCATCGAAAATCTGAAGGAGGTGCGAGCAACCGGCGCGGAAATTCTCTTTATGCGTGGAAAAGACTTTTCCGTTTCACAGCCCGTTAACTCGGCAGGAGAGGAGGAAGGATAGAGGATGAGAGAGTTAGACAGACAGAATCACTTCCACGTCGTTTTGGCAAAACGCCTTTTACTTCGCGGTTGTTTTTCCGGCGAGATAAACAGATTGAGCAATTCATTTGAATGTTTCGTGGGGAATATATGCAGCTGGATGTATGGATGAAACACGAAAAATTTTGCTTATCTCCATTCGTTACAAAAACGAAATATTTTACTTTTGTTATTTTCTTATTGTGTTTTGGAATAAAATATTTGATTCCTGTTTTTGCAAACTGAAAAAAGATATTGAATTAAAAACGTTTTTCAATTTGTTCTTCCTCGGTGGAAAATGACCCAAATTTTATACGTATAAAAAATTTCTAATAATTTATTATATATGCTTTATTTCTCTTTAATTTAATTTATAGTATTTTGAAGTACATTGTAACAATTCGCGTTTATTCGTATACATGAGAATATTAAAACAAGCTCGCGAAATAGCTTCTCATCTTTGCCAACGAATTTTCAAATACTACCGAAGCGTGAAATTAGCGAGCCGTTCCATCAGCTCGCCATGCTTCGTGTAAGCTAAATAGCCAGGTATGTGTTGAGACGGCATCGCACGCGAGGCACCCAACTGGATGAAGCGAAAGGTAGAGCAATTAAGCGGGGCTAACGAGTATACTATTATCTTAATGAGTTCAGGATTCAAAGATAGGTTTTAATTATTTCGAATAAACGAAACCGGTAAATGTAGTTTGGGCCCGACGTGAAACACGAAAATCCTTTTTCGTGAAACCAACCGTCGCCTCGAGAGCTTCGCCCCATCAATATCGACTTTACCCGCACTATTACGAGGTTTGTACGTGCGTTTGCCACGAGATCCCTATTTGTTGGAAATATATATAGGCGGAGAAAAAAAAAAACCGTATTTATCTTTCCTTAAGTCTTAACGACTGCGCTATAACTTGCTGATTTAAAGATGAAACTTGGTCGCGATCGGCGAAGAAAACGTAATTTCTGATGACGATGCAACTCTCCGTGTAACGCCATATGCTTCGCTCGCGTAAAAACACGCGTGTAAATGCAATCAGGGATCTTGAACTTTCCCGACAACAACATCGCGAAATGTCGGCTATCGCGGATCAGATAGTCGTCGCGTGTTATCTTGAGATTCGTCAGCGGTGTGCAATCGTATTTATCAAGGACAACGTACCCTAGAGGTCGGCGCATCACGTCATTTGCAACTTGTCCGCCATCTGCGACGCTTTGATAGCCGCTATGAGGAAGAAACCCATAATCATCCGTCACGTACAGTCGCAAAGCATGTGAAATTTATGGAGCTATGCATGACTCTTGAGCATTGAATTTATTGCGATTGGCAAAGCTCTTGAAAAAAAGCAGTTCTTCCCGTGTTCGCGTTTCCTGTTTCTTCCGGCAATGTTTCTTGCAAGCTCTTTGTAACGTGTTATTTTTAAATAATGAAATATATACATGTACATCTCTTCGTGTATGCCGAAGATTATATAACGTTGGAACTCAATTAAACATCGAAACGTTAACGCGATATACATGAGCGCGAAAGTGGAGTAGAATTTAATTAAGAGAATCCATATATATACGAAAATACGTATTCTATTTCCTCCCCAGAGGCTATGTGTATTTTTTTCGTTTCACATATTTTAAATTATTTACTACAGTATTATGTACTCCTCTCTTTTGCGTGTATTTTATTTTACCTACGTAAATATATTATACCACGATTGCGAAAATTAATGAAGCCCACTGTGGAATAACCGCAGCAACATTATTAATTGCAGCGTTTGATCGTTATGATTTTGATTAAGAACAGCACTTTGCAGGTACAACAGTCCCAATATTTACTTCATTTGTGATAAGCATTTCCAACTACGTCCAATATTTTGGCATGTATTTATATGGAATGTATCTTTTGTCGTCTCCCGTGTGTGTAATGTTTCATTCAAAATAAACCGCCACAAAGTTACACAATGACAAATATTCGATATCGCAAAAACGAAAGGGATATTATACTTAGAGTATACAATCATATATATATATATTACAAAGTTGCTGCGATTAATTATATTTTCTATCTCTGCGGAAGAGAGAAAGAGAGAAGCGAGGCAATGCGTATTTTAATTGCAGGATAATGCGAGTTTTCGTATTTATTATCAACGCATGCGCGTGCCGTTAACGCAGTTGTGCATATATTTTGAATGAGACTTCGCGAGAGAGACCGGAGTTTTAATGAAATTGTTTGCGCTGAGTAACGAGCATCATAAGGATCCTCGTATAACGTCCATGTAAAAAAAAAGGAACTCTTAAAACACGAGCATGTCATGCGCGTTTTTATTTTTTCTTTCTTTTTTTTTTTTTTATTCTTTGTCAGTAATCTCGTTGCGACGGCGTGATTAAGGTTCTCGTGGTTTAGAGTGTCACTTCACCCGGAATAATTGTAAAAACAGAACGTGATACGAAGTGTAAAACTGCCTGTCCTACGTTGCAATTGAGAAACCCTACTCCTTTTATTTAAATCAATTATAACTTTTGTATGAAACCGTCGCACAAAATTATATTTACAGCTCTTCAATTTGCAATGTTCTAATTCTTTTCGAAATTCGAATTCAATCAATGAATCACAAATGTTGCATATCTCATGTAATAATATAAAATACTGCGGACATTGCAAAAAAGTATATAAATATTATTATTTCGTATATAACGTTGGTAGAAAAATTGATATCGCGTTTATCCGTACGTTTCTCGCATTGCGGATATGACAATGTCCCGCATTTGACAGAAGACCATTTTTCGAATTGTCAAACAGCCGAGCTGTCGCATATCGAAACGAATTCAAAGCATTGATAAAAGGCTCAGTCTCTTTTCACGGTGCGGCCATTCACGCCGCTTCGGTTCGTGACGGAAAATTCTTTCAGATTGAAACTCGCGCACGGTACCAAAAGAGAATATTTTGCGATCGCGAAGTTTGAATGAGGCTCATACAATCCAGCCTGTCGTAGATAAAAATTATGACAAATTCGACCGCGTAATTATGCATTTGCACAAACGCACGATAAAAGCGGCGTTATGTCAGTCGTTAATAAAGGGACAAAGCATATATTAACTTTACATTTTGAACAGATAAACGCTTTTATAATGAATGTTTATGCAAAGTATAAATTCTTTCCGTGGTGAAAATACGACTGTGATTAAGATATACGAGCTTCTTTTGCAATTGTATCTTTCAAAGTTTTACAAGTTGCGACAATCGCGAAAATCAAGCTTATCTCATCGCCGTCCGTTTCATCTTCCCTTACTTAAGCACACTTGGCATTCTCGCCCGATACTCCATTATCTGATCGCGCCGGACCAGCTTATTTCGCTTCATTTGTCGATCTCAGTCGACGTCCCATTACACGCCACAAGCTCTCTATCCCGGTGTCCGCCCATGGTACGTCGGATTTGAGAAGCAACGACCCGTTTCGTGAGATACGATGCCATGGCATTAGCGATCATTCGGATGTCCCGCCAACTAGTGAACTCTAATTTGCGGTTCCCGCTAATTGAGGAACGAATACGAGATTGCACCGGCGGACAAATGAAGAGATTCTCGGATGCGACAGGATGCCGCGTTATCATAGTTTCGAGAATGTAACAAGATAATAGTTCACAACAACATATTGGCGCAAACTAAATTATTAAATAAAACAGACTGGACTCTAAACTCCGATTATATATATATATATCATATACACGGGCTTTATAAAATACCTGAATTTTCCGAAGTGAGTTTCTCGCATTAAAAGTAAAGTTTATTTCAAAATATTTTCTAGCGCTTTTGAAATAAAGATGTCTTGTCTACGATATAGCAATATTCTATAGCAAAATAATAATAATAATACCTGGTGTGACGAGGAGCGCGATACCAAGGAGTAGAGCTCTCGTCGTCACTTCCACGATTCGTCGAAAGTCCCTGCGACACCACCGTAATCGATGCGTCTTTTCTTCGTCGTCCTCTTCCACTTCATCGTTTCTACTCGCATGCTCGAAAAGGCCCAGACAAAGCCGCAGCTTCCGGTAACCGAAAACCGAACCGATCCCATTCGACTCGGGCATGCGTCGCTTCAGAGTTTCCTTTTTTTCAACCGCTTCGTTCTCCTGACGCCTATACGGTCGACAGCCTGTGCAGGTGGGCTGACCGGAAGCGAGGATCGCCTCGTGGTCAGTCCTCCTAAGAAAAGATCTTCTTTTACTGTAAGCGATTTTACCTCATCCACTTATGTAATCTTGTTGATTAGCGAAACAATTCAAATTATTTTTACGAAGATCTGTATCAGCGATTTATTTTTAAAACAGTTTTTTTAATGTCTTTTATTATTTTTTCTATATATGTAATTTATACACAGAATGTCATATTAATGCTATTAAAGGGATAGATTATTTGAGTCTTAAAATTTAGAATTTTTTCTTTTTATTTCGCGCAGATTTCATGTTGTACTAAGATAACTGTGCAGAAAATATATGCAAAGCTGACTCGATGCAAAGCTATATGTAAAGCTATACAAATAAATTGCATCTTCTAGACGTGACATCTACGATCGCTTACCTGTCCTCGTGGTCGTCACACGCGGCCTTCTCCTCGGTGGCATGGTAGCTGTCGTGCCTTAGGGACCGAAGACCCTGCGAACAAGTTCCTCCGGTACACTGGAACTCGAGCCGTCGCCGGAGGTCCGTGGCTTGTAGCCCTCCTCCGCCCCCCATACCCCCGCTCCCATAGTACCTGCGGACATAAAGCGGTCGAGGCCTGTTACAACTATAGCACGCGCAGTAACAATCGTTGGTCGAGGTGAGCTACGACCGGTAAATGACATGGCGCTCAATATGTCACATAAACCAGAAGTACTGACGGTGAATAAGGAGTCATAAAGAACATAGTACACATACCGCGGATCTTAGGATATGACACGAAGTGACAATAAGTAAGAGTTGCGAATTTATTCAATGCATACTAAATATCTTATTACGTGTCATGACTGATAATTTTTGAAAAATTTGCGTATATTTTTGTATGAAAAAAGGAGATAATCGTAAACATTTTCTTTTCTACATAAAATTTGACTTGCATACATTGATTCATCTGCGTAATGCGATTATTAAATATGATTCTCGTGCAGATTTAATGTTATCAAATCTATGTAAAAATTTTCAGCATCCAAGCATTATATTTAAATTAATAGAGAAAAAGGTCGAGTATATGTATGAAAACAAGAAATTAGATCAACGCATCATTTTACGAAAACGGGGACAAAACTGGATAATTAATGTTTTAAGCAAACTTTAAACGAGATTTACTTATTCATGTTTATCTCCTACTTTGTTTTTATTAAATATAAATTGAGATTCTCTCGCTCACCCCTTCCGCTTCGCCACTACTACCGCTGCCCGGATCGTACGTCCCCGGTGCTGATTTTCACGAACCTCGCCACTTCCTCGCCCTTCTCGCCAGCCGCTTCAACCCCCGCAACGTGTCGCTCTCATCACCTGTAACACAAAGGAACAATATTCATCAGCAGCGTACTATTTTGAGAACAAAGTAAAAAATCTTTACTCGCTTCCTTCGATAGTAAAAATACTATCGCAGCAAAAAATGTATTGCGTAATATCAATTGTGCACTAATAACTTATTATTATCTCTCGCGAGATATGCCTGCGTAATCGCTTTTCATTCGAGATATAACTTTGTACAACAAACATATACATCCATATCCGTATATGTGGATGTATGTATAGAACGAATCCTTTGGTAGATAGTTGAAATTCCATATAGGTGAAACATGAATCGATTCGATTAGCAACATACGTGCTCAGATACAAGCTTGATTGATTCAATTTGGGTTCCAGCCCCTACGAGCGATGCTTAGATGGAGGTAGACGCTCCGACGATGAACTAGTAATTATATCACGTTCGGAAACTGCCACGTTATCTGGCAGGAACTAAGGTAGAATAATATTAAATGATCTCGAAAGGAAGAAATTAAATATTTCTAATCCTTGAAGCGCATGTGACATGAATTCTATAACATCGATCAGATTCAATTTAAAATCTTTAATATTTCAGTTTTACGGACGATTGTAAATGCTTATTTTATCCAATATGCTGAATTAACATTTATTTTTATACAATATTTATTTAATATCAATTTTTCTTCGAAATTATTCAATAAAATCGCGCTTTTCATGTATTTAAATTTTTAATACTGTTTCAACAATTGAAAAAAGTCTCTCGATGTAATAATTCCATATAAATACATATCTTATATCACTGATTATGAGAGTAACGTAATGGAATTGTAAATACGCAGCAATTGCATTTAATATTGCAGTGCTTAACTTCTACATAAAAAAACGATCATGATTATTCAAATTATATTACGATGTGTGCATATACAATATATGTATTACGATCACGGAATAACGCGCGTGCGGGGGGAAAAGGAAGAGTCCGCGGCTTATTTATCGTATGTCAATACGCATGAAGATTTCATCTCATTCGTAGCACGTTCGTGTAATACTAACCCTGACGGGAATTACGACTATTCTGCGTTAGTAATGACCGTTCTCTCTGCCGAGATGTAGAGAGCAGGTGCGTATTAGATCCAAGTATTGTACTTTCACGCTCGCTGATCGCGACGAGTCTGTGTGAAATGAATGGGAAACGTGTTCGATGAAACGAATTAATGGAATCTTAAAATATCAAACTCACAAAATATTGTAGAGATTAAATTACTTTGCCTCGAGCTGTTATAATAATTAATTAATTAATGAAATGAAGCGCCTGCATATCACATACTCTTGATTTAATAAATAGCGCACTCTCCACTGCAGAAAAAGCTGTAAAATTAACTCTTGTGCATTAAATGGATAAATAATGTAGTAGTATTCTACAGTAATCTGTGAGCGAATGCCGCGGTAAAGTTACACGATACCGTAAGCTTACAGCGTTCTTATTTATGATCACCGTCGGCTACTAATGCTGTAGCATCAATCAAGTGTTGTTACTCATTCTGGTGCTAAGCCAGATGGCAGATTAGACGCTTGCACTTCCCTCAAGAATTTACGTACGAGCGAGTGGAATTTAAATTCTTGCACGTGCGTCATCGCAACTGTCGACTGCAAATAACGTTCTTTTCATGTATTGTGTTCTACATCTTACACATACGAGTATATTATATCTTAAAGTCTGAAAAAGTCATCGTATATTATTATTTATGATCGATAATATGTAAGAGTTATGGTGTTTTCTTGGATTTAAACAATGTTGCTTTATAAAAATAAATAGTTAATTATATTTTATACAAGGGCAGGGAATGTTGTGTAACTTTATAGTTTAAGCATTGCAGAAATATTGTAACGATTTATTTGTTTCACACAAATGTCGCAAGTATTTTCTGTCAAATAAACGTATAAAATTGACTTTTCGAATATACCATTGGTGTTACTATCCCTTACTATCCCTGTCTTTATAGCCGATATTATTCTCAGAGTAAAGTCACGTTTTATTACCTAGCGTCAAACTACCTTAACTCTCGGATAACAGTGGATTCTTCTTTCATGAGTGAGGTTGGAGTAACTGTGAAAACTGTAATTCTCCGAGTCAGTTTGCAAATTTAATTGTCGGTAGTTCGATGAAGAATATAATTACGAAGAAATTCTGTTTCTTTCGTTATCATCTTGTAATTAAGGCTGAATTCTTCTTTTTTTTTCATTTTTCTCCAACATGTTACACATGTGAATGTTGGTTTTCCTATATGTTATATATTTTATCGATTGGACGATAGTATAAAATAGAGCAGCTTGCTTGCGAGGGAATATTTATCGCCTTTCTTATAAATATGGATTTAAATAGCTCAGAACGCGACTGCAAAATCGATTTAATAATGTGGAGCAGCGAGTGACCTTTTGACCAGAATCCGCATTATATCGGCAAGTTGTTCGCACAATGGTCATCTCGCAATTGAAACTATTTCCAAAATCGAGAGTGTGCGAGCGATGTACAAACGAGAGTACATCTAACGCGGTTGTTACCTTGGCTGAAGAGGGGAACGCCGGTGGATCGCGTACGACTAGTACTAATAAAAGGCGCAGGGCTGTACTGTTTGAACAATGGTACGTGTCATCCACGCAATTGCGTCCCACCAAAGGGCTGCGACACCGGCTGTCATAACTCGTCTTCGTGTTTCCCGATTATTAGCACCGAGCCGATGGGACTGGCTAGTTTCTCTCTCTCCTTCCTTGCTTTCTCTCTCATCGGTTCCATCATGTTATCCCTTTCCCACCCATACAGTCTAACTATTCCACGACTCCCGTATATAATATCTACCAGACTCAGTTGGGCTATAAATCGAATCGACCGTGAGAAGTTTAGCACTGGACGTGTCGACAGTTGAAATTCCAGCGGGTAAACATAAGAAATCAGCTCGATAAAATCGCATCCGTTTCATTTCTAGAACAAATATTTTTTACATCAAGTTTTTTCGAGACGGATTATTTGTGTTTTTGAACATAAAATTGACGGCATTCTTATTTTTATAAATTGCAAACATTTTATAATATCATATTTACGATGAATGATAAGCGACACGAAGTCCATCAAATCGTTCGGTGAACGAGTTTTTTCATAATTCTACTTTTATATAACGCAATTTGCCTATTCTATCCGCTGTGCTGTCATTTCGGGATAAAACGAAACAGCCGGCTAATTGGCTCGTGTCAGGACTACATGTCCCATGTGACTTCATTCATTATCGGTGTCGGTCGACGTAACCGGAAGCGGGGAGAAAGTATTGGTCCGTATCGCGCACCGATGTATCGGCGGCGATTTTTCGGCCTTGTTTTGTACGCCCGTTGGGCGATGCGTTTCAACGTCGACATCGTTGCATTTTGCGACGTACGCGATACTGGACATACGTTTCCCGAAGTCGATACAGACCGGACGCGAGTGAATTACTCGTACGCGTACGCTAAATTGCCGAAAGTTTTCGCCCAATTTCACTGACGACGCGCGCGAACTTCCGTTGTGCAGCCGGAACAACTATGCATGCGCTCGGAAGTTCGACTATAGATCTTCGTTTGCTTTGCGCATACGTGTGTATGTACCATCTATGTATCCATGATATATATATATATATATATATGTAGATCTGTGACTTACATTTAACATATTCCGGGTGCAAAGTTCCGAGCAATCGTATTCGCGCCAAGCTTTGTTGAAATTGTAAATGCCACAGAAATTATATTGATGCGAGATAAAATGATATGAAAAGATGCGAAGAATTTAATTAAATCACCGCTTGTACGTGCGCATGTTCATTCGTAACAAAATGCTAATGCATAAAACGTTCTTCCCTCTCTCTCTCTCTTTTTTGTGCATTTAAAATGACGCAAATATTCTCGACCGTGTGAATCGCGTTTGAAAAATTGTTACGTCGAATATTCACGGCCAATTTCGCTGTGCGGTCGTCGGGTTGAACAATTCGATTTCAACGACAATTCAAATGGACTCGGTCAATTGCAAAGTTCCTACGTTAATGCTCTCTTTTTTCCTTTCTAAAGCATTTCGACAAGCATTTAAATTAAAATTCGTGAAATAAAAACATATCAACTTTACATCGCGCGGATATCTCTGATTCGTATAACAATTACATTGATTATTATCAACGTTAACTTTCCAAAAGAGTTTGTCATGTACCATGACAAACGACCAAACTCTTTAAAAAGTTCCTTTACACGGTTGTCCAACTTCTGCGGATTGTCGTCTCTTTTGACGGGAAACATAACTTTCTAAATTGGTTTGGGACAGAGGGGGCCAACTTTGTCATTAACCGTTTTTGCGAGCTTTCTCGCCATCGGCCATTCGCTATTTTCGCCTTGCATTACGAAATCGCGACTTTTCTTTTTCTTTTTAGCTCTATTAACTTGAACAACTTCGATAGCAATCGCAGACGTAATTCTTTCGAACGATCAATGTGACTGATGATTCCGCACGCGAATCTGAAGACGCGATTATCGAATACCGCATCGAGTAATTAACGACGCAAAGATGTGCATATTCTAACATGACTAATTTCGCAGATGCTTGATAAATCTATATTGCTCAATATATAGCAACAGCATATTCCACAAACTTCTCCAGGATCCCTATGAATTCAGCGTGCATATCCGCCGCAAGGCATTTACGAATGATCTTGTATACGCATGTGTATATCTGACACGGCCTCGAGGCTTTTCAGGGTATATCAGCTACGGTATATCTATCTGTCGCGGAATCTATTTGAACGTCCTCCTGCACCAATGATGAGGATGTTAATTATTACCGCCAAGGTTCGCCCGAGACTAAGAAGATCCCCGTCGGCGCTAGAATTTCGGGATGAAAGCGAGGAACCCGAGGTCACTCGCTGGCAATAAACCATCGTGTCTTCGCTATTATAAGCGAATAATATAGTTTATCTGGCAAGGCCAAAGTTTTGGCGAAACTATTCCCG